CTGGGAGCTGCTGCCGTGCGCGAGTGCGCCCCGACTTCGGATCCGCCGAACTTTGGTGGGTTTCGCAAGTGGGGCGGAAATTTCCGCCCTGCTTGTTGAACCCCTTGGATGCCGATTTCCGCCCTATTACTTTGCCGTCGCTGTTTTCGCCACACCTATGCGGAAATGTCCGCGCCATCTCTTCCCACCACCACCACCGCAGAGCCAATCATCCGGAAGGGCGCGTGGGCAGAAGAGCGCTTAATTGGCAGCCTTTCGGTAATTATTGAAAGAGGCACGGAAAACAAAGCGCCCCACGACTATGAAGCAGAAAACATAACCGCCCGACTGTAAGGCGAGGAGGAGGAGGAAGAGAAAGAGGGGATCCTGCCTATAGTTACGAGAGAAGCTCATAGACCGATGTGGCCCAACGCTGCCGCGGCCGCCCTCGCTTTCTACGAGATGCCCAATGTCTGGGAGAGCCCTCTACGGTGCAAAGTATAGATTTCGCCAGGCACGAATCATTTCAATTTGCGATATTGGTGTACAGCGCCGTCTGTTTGTCATCTAATATGTCAGAGAGTGGCTTCGCTCCGGCTTTGTCTAGCACGATGGAATTGGCGACCGTCGAAATAAACGAGGGCGGGATACCCAATATCTTCCGGATGCATTTGCAATGGAAAGCGTCCGATTGATCTCTCTCGCCTTTGAGAAATCACATTGGGTCCAAGGAATACAAGATCTTGGTCAAAACGCATGCGGTACATATAAATGCATATATATATATATATATATATATATATATATATATATATATATATATGTGATTTTTCCTACCAATGGCGGCGCGGGCCCATGCCTGTTGCAGCTGCTTGAATATATTCGCTCCATCGTCCAGCCTCCGGGACAACTCATGTCCAGCTTTGCCGTCGCAAGATATCAGCCCGTCCGAATAAGCTGCCCCCCGCGCGCCCGCGCGGATTTGACGTTTTCCCCCGTTGGTCTCCGTACTTCGCCTGTTGCAGACATGTTCCGTTGCGGCGTCTTCTCCCGTTTGCGCTCCGTGCCACATTTACGGCCTTCCGTAACAATGGATTCGAGCATTAATGGAAGAGTCCCAGGATGTTGCGACGCCAAAAGAACGACATGTCCCTGGCGACGAGATACTCCGGCTCTGATTGCAACTCCAGCGCGTCCAGGGCGTCGCGCACCTTCACAGTTTGAACAGCGATGACCAAGTAGGGGCTTAGCGGGCACCCTTGCGCGATACCTGCAGATTGCTGCCTCCCCGAAGAAGCCCCAAAATGATCGACTACACTGAAATACCGCTCTGCGTAAAATCCGCGGACCACGTTGACGATGTGTGCCGGTAGTCCAAACCTTCCCAAGGCCGCGCACATGCTGTCGGGTTTCAGGCGGTCGAAAGCTTTCGCCCAGTCTAATAATAAGAAGAGCGAGCCTCCGCGGTTGTTCATGCGAACTGCATCCGCAATCCTGCGGAGAAGCGTCAAGGCGTCTGAAGTGCCGCGCTTTGGGCGGGAACCAGACTGAGAGTCCCGCGTGCTTCGTTCTCACCTGCCACCCAGGAGTCGCTCGTGTCGCATCGAGGCCAATACTTCGTTGCCCACTGCCAGATGGGACATCGGTCTATAGCTACTTGGTAAAGTAGCGCCCCCTTTCTTGAACAGCAAAACCGCATTCGCTCGCCCCCACGCGGATGGAATGCTTTCGCCCCCCAACATGCCCGACGTACGTGTAAGAGTGCGCCGCGGGCGCGCGCGTCTTCAGCAGCGACTTTGCATAATTCCGCAGGCACGTCGTCCGGCCCAGCTGTCTTCCAATTCTTCATCTTCTTGATCGCCGTCTGGAGCTCGTTTAAGGAGAACGCGTCAGCGTTGATCGGCAAAGTGGCCCCAAACCTCTCGGAGTTAGCGGGGGCCACATCGGCGAAGCAGACTCTCCATTGCATTTCCTCGGAGTACTCCTCAAGGGCGTCTGGTCTAGCAGAGGTGTCGCAGACGTTCCCGTTCAAGTCTTTAACGCCCGCGCGATTGCGGGGCGCTGGCTCTCGTGTCGAGCCGCATCCCAATTGCCACTGGGAACCGCATTATCCAACCTAGCCGATGGATGTTTCCTCCAGCTTTCCGGATCAATTTGTGTAGCCGGGGCTCGTTGTCGTAGCCCACTGACTGGCGGCGGGCGTTCCTCTCGGCCATAAGTTCCAAAGTAGACGTGCTTGTCCATGGTTTCTGCGGTCGTACTTCCAACTTGGAAGAACATCAACTGCGGCGTCGAAAGCTCGCTGTACTTGGTCCGCGGCGTCGCCCAGACAAGGGGAACGAGTTGGATCCCCGATGGCATTCGAAAATGTCTCGGCGAAGAGCTTCCTGGAGCCCATCGCCGCGAGAGCGCCCGTGTCCTTCTTCTTCTTCTTCGGCGCGCGGGTCCGCGAAGATCGTTGAAATTCCAGCCGATGCGCTGCGCTAAGAAAATGGCGGCCATTGAGGGCGGCTGCCCGGGTAGAGCAGCATTCTTGCATGCAACAAAGGTCGAGTCATGGCATAAAGCGCGATCGATTTGAGAGAACAAGTCTGGCGACATTGATTGCAAAGGCTGTGCGCCCAAGCTCTGGTAGGTGATCTCGTCGTCATCTTCCCCTTCGAAGAACGCGCTCGCGATCGCCATGTCGCAATCAGCGCCTCGTTTCATTAATAATTGACGATTGCCCCATCGTGGGGAATGTCGCTCTGGTGGGCTTCCTCGAAAAACATGTTCTCCAATAGTGGTTTTTTCACCCGCTCCTCGATCGGACAATTTCGCATTGTAGTCCCCGGGGGCGACAGTGGAGCTGCGCTTCGTTGTTGGATTGAATGCTGAGAAACGTCAGCGTAGAACCTCAGCCGCGCTTCTGGTTCGCGCCCGCTGTGCGGGGCACGCGCGGAAATCAGCACCAGCGCCCCCCCGGCGACTTTGACCCTGAGCGTCGCCATTCTCGGCCCGAGTGCTTAAACGCGACAACCGCAAAACGCGCCGAAGGCGATGCGACAATCCCGACTCCTGCATCGGATCTGGATTTCAAGTTCGCCTCCCCAGACAAACAATACATGGGCCCATCCTGTGTGAAGCTCGGCGTCATGTAGCTGCGCTTCCTGTGCGCATGATATGTCAATATTATACGCATCCACGATTTTTGCAATGTCTGCCAACTTTCTAACTGAATCTCCACGTGATCCTTCCACATTCCACGCGCCACAGCGCACGGTCTCGATGGGCGAACGTGTCTGCCTGGATCTCCCCCGAGGGTCTGGAAGCTGCCCTGGCTATACTACTGCGGGCGCCGAAGCAGAAGATGCCTGCGCCGAAGTAGCCTGACGGGCCGGAATCCCAAGTGTTGGCTGGCAAGGAAACGATGTAGAGAAAGCCGGAGGAGTAGAAGAGGGCGAATAAAGAAAAAGAGAATGGCGAATGATGCTGACACTGCGGCCTGGTATCTTTGCCCGTGCCCGCTGTAGAAAATGCGCGCGAATCCGCAGGGGCGAGCATGCCGGTAGCTGCGCCCACGATACGTCCAGTGCCATCGGATTCACACGGAAAAGGTTGGGGCGGTCCATCTCGAACGGCTCCGGTGTCTAGCCGGACCAAACCTGACACCGGCCCTGTTCCCGATTGGTCTTTCGATTTCCCCTTTGGGTGCCCTTTCATCCCTTGCTGGGCTCTGGTGACCAAGGCGTCGCACTTGTCGGAGAGTTCATTTAATTGTGGATGCCCCTGTAACTCTTCCTGCGCCTGCCACTTGTCGTCCCAGTTCTTGTGTATAGCGGTGCCGTCCACGGTGACCGCGACTGCGAGCTGACCTCCCGCATGAACTTCGCAAGGCGAACTGTCCGAGACCTTGATCTTGTATGGATTGTCGAAGGTATCTTTAAACATGTATTTCAACCCAAAACAATGGTTGCGTGCTGCACGCTCCGTTGGCGGGCGATCCGGGGAAGCCCACGCGGTTCCCCCCCCTCTGTAGCTTCGCTGTCTTGATCAGTGTGACGGCGGTGTCCTGGTCGAGCGTGTTCGCGAACTCCGCAAAGAGGATCATAGTGGTGTCGCCCTTCACGTACATGTTGACTGGGATGGGGCCCGAAGCAGCTTATAACTTACCTATACGACCGCCCTTCAGGTGATAAGGAGGTTCGGGGGGGGAGGAACCAACGTCTCACACGATCGGTCTCACTATCGATCTCACAATCGGTCTCACATTCGATCTCACTATCGATATGACTATCGATCTCCCTATCGATCTCACTATCGATCTCACAATCGATCTCGCAATCGATCTCACATTAGGTCTCATTATCATCAACAACAACACCATCATCATCATCGCCATCATCATCATCACCATCAGCATCATAATCATCCACATCATCATCGGGACACCGACGGGACACCGACGGGACACCAGCGGGACACCGGCGGGACACCGCGCGCCACCGGCCGCCCGGAAGAGACACATTTGGTCCGGCCGCGCCTCAGCCACAGGGACACCGACGGGACACCAGCGGGATACCGGCGGGACACCGCGCGCCACCAGCCGCCCGGAAGAGACACATTTGGTCCGGCCGCGCCTGAGCCACAGGAGACTTTCCTCTCGCCCGCCCACGCAGCTTCGCCTCGCCCGCGCGCACGGCACGCACGAATACGAAACCGAAATCGATTTCCCGGTAGGGGGCTCTCCGTTCCACTTCGATCTCACCCCCTCACCTCCGATCCTGGAGCCATGCTCCTGCTGTGTTGAACATGTCGAAGCCCTCCAAGTTACCAAACACTACAGTTATGTTACGTTTCCCCCAATCGCCTTCGAGGCCTGCACATGCACCCCGGAGACCTGAGGCCATGTGCTGTTTCAGTGTTTGCACTTCCTGCTCTAGCAAGTTGTATTTTCGACTGCGCAGCTGTGTCCAATGATGTTTCTGACACCCTCGCGGAAGCTGGTTGGGACGTGTATTGTGATTCCAATATCCCCATACGTTTGATGAGGTCGTTGACCTCGTCCTTCAGGGGGCCGACCACGTCGCTAAGATTCTTCTGGGAGACCCCGTGGGGCTTGATGGCCGCGATGTCGTTGCGCAAGGGCGCCAACTGCGTGAGCAAGATCCGCTCCAGTACTCCAGCGGTAAGTGGCTCGTCGATGAGGTCGCCATTGCC